GCTGAACCTGGAGCTGGAGCTGTGGGAGCCCTTGGAGGCCAGAGAGGGACCCAGGCAGCCTGGGGTGAAACCTTTTGGTGTGGGATGGGAGAGATGGAGCCTCTCTGCTCTGTGGAGCCCACCTACCTGTTGGCTTTCTTCTAGACACTGTTCTAGACAGACCAAAGATAAAAGAGCAGTGGTGGAATCTGGGCTCCTTGCTCAAAGCTTTACCCAAGCCCTGGGTGGCTTGATCCACTGAGACTCCAGGTGCAAAAGGGGCAGATGAAAAGTGGAAACTCCAGGAGCCAAGTGCAGGAACGTTCATCCTGGTGTTTTGGGGAAGGGAGGGTGAGAAAAAACCCTTGGTCAGAGATGGGGGGGAGCACTTAAAAATTAAGTCTAGTTTGTGCATTATTTTTTGGAAGGAGTTGATTTCAATTTAGCATTCTAGAGAGACTTTATCCTGGCTGCTCTGAACGGAGCTGTTTTGTTTCCTTCACTCAAGAACTCTGAGCTTCCCACCTCTCTACTCACTGGAGTATTTTTATTCTCCTCCCTTCCCCCCTCCTGCCTCCTCACTCCTGCTGCTGCCTTGATCCAGCAGATTGAAGCACTGGAATAAGGGGCAATTCTGGCTGAGGCAGCCACTGTTTCTGGGTGAAGCTCTTCAGGGGTGGCCACCTTGTTAGGGACAAAATTCCTTTGCCAAACTTGGCCTCAGCTGAGGGTTGTGAAGTTCAACACTTGGGTGTTTTGAAGGATTTCAAGAGCAGCTTTTCTTGGCCTCTGGGGGAGGTGGCTGTGGGTGCCACCACCCTGGAGATGCAGCTAAAGTTTGCTGGAGGTGAAACACCCAGGTTCTCCAGGTCCATGAGCCTGGGGATGATGGATTGGAGCAGTTGTGTTGATGAAAAAGCTTAACCTACTTTATTTTTTTATTTTTTTTTTTAATTTTTATTTTTTTTGGGTAATGATTATTTGTATGGGAGCTTTGCTAGAAAGCTCAGCACAAAGTTGCACATTGTCCTTGGCCCTCTCCTTGTTTCTTTCCACACCTTCCCACCAGCTGGGCCTGGTTTCAGTCTCCTGAGGGTGGTGGGAGAACTTCTAAGGCAGTCACCCCTGTTCTGAAACAAGCTGAGGGGCCACAAGCCCCTGCTGTGTGCTGCCCAGAAGGGCACTGGGCTTCTTGTTCAGTCTCTGGGGGGTCTGATTTCTATCAACTCCTGCAGAACTCCAAGCCTGCACACCTCTGAAAGGTGGGAACATTGCTGGATTGTGGGGCATTTCTGACTTCAGGTGCCATTGAACAACTCGGGAACCTTTTGTTCCCTTTACCCCCCCCCCCCCCCCGGTCTGTCATTGGCTTAACTTAGGCTTTCAACTCTTGTCTCCCCTCGAGGGAAACCTGAGCAGCCCCAGGACCCACTCCCCACCCTCCCAGGTGAGAGCCAAGAGGTGCTCACCTGCCCGTGAGCTCTCGGGGGGGTGGTGGGGGGGTTGTCTCCTGAGCTCTCTCCTCCTCCCAAGTCCCATTGTAAATGTCACCTTGTTTGTCACCCCTGGGGAGCGCTGTGGGCAGGGCTGTGGCTCTGCTGCCTCCCCCGGGCAGGGCTGGCTCTGACACCTCGTTGTGCTGCATGTTCCCACCCAGCACCAGAACAGGAAAATGCCTTATTGTGGACACTACTCACATCACTAGCATGTGGCTGTCAGAGAGAAGTGTTAGTTTTATAGCTCTAATATCGTCTGTCCTACCATTTCTGAATGTTTCCAAGTGACAATCCTCAACTGACTGCTCTAGGCAGATGTTTTAGCAACAGATTTTTAGACCCAATTGAGTTGAAAAATATATGCACAAGAGTCACTCTTAAGATACCTTGTTTATATACTATTGTACATAAGATTTTCTCTTTTTTTTGTTTTGTTTTTTTTGTTTGTTTTGGGTTTTTTTTGTGCAATAAAGTTTGTTTTGGCAGAATCTACACTGTGGTACTTAACTCCTTAGTGGGACAACAACTCACAGAGCCAAGGGGACTGCACAGCAGTTGCTCAGTGTCATTGTCATGTTGGCAACCTGCAGGATTGTAGTTGGAGCCCCCAGTGTAAGAAGGACATGGAGCTCTTGGAGAGAGGCCAGAGAAGGGCCATGAGGATGATGCAAGGGCTGGAGCAGCTCTGGGACAGGCTGGGAGAGTTGGGGTGTTCAGCCTGGAGAAGAGAAGGCTCCAGGGAGACCTTAGAGCAGCTTCCAGTGCATGAAGGGGCTCCAGGAAAGCTGGGGAGGGGCTTGGGACAAGGGCAGGGAGGGATGGGATATGGGGGAATGGATTAAAACTGGAAGAGGGAGATTGAGGTGAGACATGAGGAGGAAATTCTTTGCTGTGAGGGGGGTGAAAGCCTGGCCCAGGTTGCCCAGAGAAGCTGTGGCTGCCCCATCCCTGGCAGTGTTGAAGGGCAGGTTGGATGGGGCTTGGAGCAGCCTGGGCTGGTGGGAGGTGTCCCTGCATGGGCAGGGTTGGATCTGGATGATCTTGAAGGTCCTTCCAACCCAAACCATTCCCTGATTCAATATCATTATGAAGATAATTGTCCTGTCACTGTGACAAGGTCACCTCTGGGCTGTAATGCCAAGGGCCATTGCCACCCCCACCAGAGCAGAAAGTGCAGAGCTCAGCAATCAGGAGTGAGTCCTGTCACACTTCAAGCCAGACACTTCTAGAAAACTTTTATTTCCAGTCTGCTGTCCCTGTGTTGCAGGTGATATGCAAATAACAGCCCAAGAAGAGTTCTCTACAGGCACAGGATGTGTAGCAGTCAAGGAATTGCCTCCTTGGCTTCCTCTGGAGTGATTTCCTGAGAGTAGAGCTCTGTGAAGAGAGCAGGCAGCCAGTACTGGGCTTCCCCCTCTGCCTGCGTGTCCAGCCAGGCCATCCCCTCCTTCAGCAAGTGTTCCTGCACAAATAGAGTGGAAACTGTGAGTGACACTGAACTGGAAGGGTGATTAAACACTGGAACAGGCTGCCCAGGGAGGTTGTTGAGTCTCTGTCCCTGGAGGTGTTCAGGAGCATGGAGATGTGGTGCTGAGGGATGTGGTTTAAGCACTGGACTTGGTTGAGTTGGGTTAATGGTTGGAACAATTAGGTTATGGTTGGACTCAATGATCTTAAAGGTCTTTTTCAACCAGAACAGTTCTGGGATTCTGTTAAAGGCTGAAAAACCATTCACAGGAGAGGCCTGACCCCACATTTGTTCTGGGGTGAGGGAGGGTGGAGAACTTGGGCTACAATTTTTACTTGACTGGGAGAAACACAGTTGGGACATCCAGTTGTGTCCTGCATGTTTCTGTTGGACCTGAGCTAACCAGCTTCCAGTTTGGCTGGAGATTAGGTGAGACATGAGGAGGAAATTCTTGAGTGTGAGGGTGATGAGAGCCTGGCCCAGGTTGCCCAGGGAAGCTGTGGCTGCCCCATCCCTGGCAGTGTTGAAGGGCAGGTTGGATGGGGCTTGGAGCAGCCTGGGCTGGTGGGAGGTGTCCCTGCCCATGCAGATGGAACTAGATGATCTTTGAGGTCACTCCAACCCCAAACATTCCATGATTCTCTGATCCCCAGTGCCTGTTCCCCCCCTGCCCTGGCTCTGCCCTCCCCTGGAGACCCTCACACATACCAGCACTTGCTTTGCACGTTCTGTCTCCCACTTGAGGCTGGACTTGATCTCACTGACAGTCACAAAGCCCTTTTTCTGCAACGAGAGGAGAAACCCTGTGTGTGCTGAGAGTCCAGACTGGAGCCCAGAGCTGAGCAGAACATGGACAGGCCTGGTCTAGTCCCTGTTTCCTCTCCTGGAAGCAATGAGGTTCTTTTCAAGGTGGTTCTATTTTAAAACCTGGCTCAGTACCTCTGCCAGCTGCAGCACCACAGTGTGATCCATGTTCAGTTCAGCTGGGACAGACTGGATCAGGTATGTTCCACCAACAGGGATAATCCCAAAGCCATTCCCCAAGACCTTCAGTTTCTTGATGGCACGAAGGAGATCATCCCTGAGGAGCAGAGGGCAAGGCAAGGCTTTAAAGCAAGAGCTTCCAGCTGCATGTCATGTTCTGTACATGGGGAAGACTTGATGTGCAGGAGCCAAGAGCAGTCACAGCTCCTTGGGCCTTGCTGCAGTTTGATCAACAGCTGAATCAGATTTTTATGAAGCAATTTGGAATTAGTTGGCACATCTGTGTCCCTCTTGGATTAGGGACACACTTGGAGCAGCTGAGCTGCAAGTGCTGAACTAGGATTCAAGCCCCAGTTAGTGATCAGGGTGAGCTGTGTCCTAAGATCTGCTGCTGTCCTAAAATCTGCATGGATCAGCCCCTCCCAGCTCAGGAGACCAGAGCAGCTTCAGCAGCCTGGGGCAGTGGGAGATTTGGGGCTGGGGGGCTGATTGTCTCCAGCTCAAGGCAACAGTCCTGGAGGCTGCCAGAGAAAGGACCCTGCTGCTTCATGACATGAAGTCATGCTGGCCCATGGGGAAGGGGCTCCATTGCTAAAAGTCACATTTGGAGTCCAACTAACTCAGTCACCTCATCTTCTTTTCCCAAATGCCACCATTCCCCTGTTTCTGTAGGACACAGACACTCACTGGCTGACATCCTGAGCAAACTTCCCCCTTCCCTTCAGCACCTGCTGATGAAGCTCTTCCAGTGTTATCAGACCTAGAAGGCAAGGAGAAGGGACAGAAAAGCATCACTGCAGAGCAACCAAATGACTCCAGCAAGGCCCTTTGTGCAGCTGCCACTGGCCCAGCCTTGCCTTCCATGTTCCTGGGGCTGGTCACTGCTCCCAGGAGGGCTGAGAGGAGCATGAGGTCACTCCTGTCCCCAGCTGTGCCTTCTCCCACAAGTGTATCAGCTTCCAGTGGCTTTCCTGTAGCTCATTCCTGGTCTCAAACTGCCCTTGTGGAGTGAGGAACATCCTCCATCTCCCCATGAGGCACTGATCACTGGTGTCCCAGCTCTTTGGGAAACTGCTGTGACCCTCTGGAGACACTTCCTGCCACCAGGCTTCAAGCTGGAACTCCTTGACAGTTTCTTACTCCTTTAGGATTGTCACTGATCCCTGCTCCTTCCCCCTGATACTTCAAATTCTTAGTTTTGTTAACTAGAAAGGGCAAAGTTGGTTGATTTCTGTAGGAATCAAGGAAGGTGGATGATTCCCAGTGTGTAACTGTAACAAGAACAAACCAGGCTCCTTGGGGACAGTGAAAACTGCCACGTCAGGAACCTGTGAAACCCAGCAGAGGACACAACACTGAGATGTGGGACTCAATTCCCACAGGGAAAAGGAAATTCCCCCCTTCTTGCATCTCCCAGAGATGGTGGGATCCTCACCTCCATTCCTGTGTTTCAGAGCCAGGCAAACTTCAATGATCTGCACCCCCAGCTCGTAGTAAAAGTCTCCAACTCCCAGCATCTCTGCCCAGAATCCTTTCCCAGCTGCAAAGTGAGAAAGGGGAAAGTGATGGAACCACTGGCAAAAATATCCTTCTGCAACAATTGCTGCTGTCAGGAAGGCTGCTCACAGGCCCATCCTGGCTGGGAGGACCCACACCTGTCAATAAACAACCCCCATTTTCCTTGTCCCCACCCATTTTCTCCCACCCGTGAAGTAAACAACACCCAAAGTTCCACCACACTGATCCATAAATCCCAAGAATGAAACAAAAATCCACCCTCAGTTCTCCTGAAGGAGCAGAGGGATGAACCCTCAGCCCATCACCCTGGGGCCTGTTCCTCACATGCCAGAGGATCCACTCCAATGGTGGCACACATGTCCTGGAACTGCACCCTGAACTCGGGGTTCTTCCGGATCTCCTGCTTGTGTTTGCTGGCAAACTCCTCCAGGTTGGTCTTGAACATGTCCAGCTGCTTGGACATCTGCAAGAGAATTGCAGAGAGGGAATTCTTCCCTGGGAGGGTGGTGAGTGAGACCCTGGGACAGGTTGGAACTGCCTTTTGGCAGCACGAGCTGCTGGCCTGGCCTGAAGCAACGATTTGGGGGCTGCCCTGAGGTTTCTTTTGCTAAGAAGGCTAAAGATGAGGGCTGCAGAGTGTGAGGAATTCCTGCCCCCCCCCTGCTGCCCTTCTGCTCCTTTCCAGAGACAAACCACTTGTTGCAGCTGCATCTGAAATGGGGTGGATGTTGATGCAGGTTTGTTTCATCTCCAAGAAGATGGGGGGGACACAGCTAGGTCTGGTCCTGACCCACCTGATGGATCTTTTTTTCTAGGAAAAAACCTTGAAAACTGGGAGAGGGAGACTGAGGTGAGAAATGAGGAGGAAATTCTTTGGTGTGAGGGTGGTGAGAGCCTGGCCCAGGTTGCCCAGGGAAGCTGTGGCTGCCCCATCCCTGGCAGTGTTGAAGGGCAGGTTGGATGGGGCTTGGAGCAGCCTGGGCTGGTGGGAGGTGTCCCTGCCCATGCAGGGGGTTGGAACTGGGTGATCTTGAAGGTCCCTTCCAACCCATCCCATCCCATGACTTGAGTGCAGGTCCTCAAGAACCACTCAGGTCTGTGAGGTGCCCAGGGCAGGTGGCCCCGGTGGGACTCAAGGAAACTCTAAAATGATCAAACCCCCATGAAATCCAGAATCCTCCAGACACAGACTGCAAATCCAAACCAGGATCCGTGGACACAGAGACCCAGGGCAGTTCCCAACAGGGAGGAAACCTCAGGAAGGGGGGGCAGGAGCTGATGTACAGAGCTGGGGTCTCAGGCAGGGGGGGCAGAGCGAGACCTGCAGGCAGCACAGCCCCTGGGGGCACCCGGACCCCCTGGGGGGGGGAACAAACCCGAGCCCCGGGTCTCTCCCACCTGGGCCAGCTGATCTTCTGCCAGGACCGTCCGTACTTGTCCTGCGGTGGTAAACGGGGCTGATGGAGGCACCGGGGAGGAGGGGGCGGGATGGGCCCGGGCCCCGGATCCCACCCGGCACCGGCACCTCCCGGGGGGCTGGTGATGGGTCCCGGTACCGCCCCCACCGTGAGCCCGGGAGGTCCCGGTTCCCTTCCCACGGGCCTGACACCCCCGGTACCGGGTCTGACACCCCCGGTACCGAGCCTGGACCCCTCCACGGGCCTGACACCCCCGGGACCGGGGCTGACACCCTCGGGACAGAA